CTATTATCTACCTCTCACACTAAGTGACTACATTATTAGATAATTATTTGTCTTGGAATAATATTCATATACTAACTGATTTCTTGCAGAATTGCTTTCTGGTCAAAATTCATTGTTTCACAAAATAAGGGGACACAGTTAAAATCATTCTCTTCAAAACAATTTCTTTTTAAAGACAGCATCAAATATTGGAGGTTCTTAACACCCACAAAATATACCAATATACAATCTGGACAAAGAACTGACTTCTGGCGACTTAAGACAAATTGTAGTTAATGAGGACTTTATTATTTTACATATATCTTAAAGACACAAGCAATGACTATGACTATAGGCCATGAAATAAGCTGCTATGACCCTCTGCAGAATAACAGTGCATGTTGCTATACACTACAATTTTAATTGTATGGAAAAGTTAATTGGTCATAAAATTGAGAAAATGTTTTTAAAATGAACTGCCATTTAAAACTGTGGTAGTGTATAAAATCCCCAATCAGAACTTGCCTAGGTTGTGTTAGAGTCAATCTCTGCCTCTTATATGAATAGATGCAATCTCAGCAGGCAGACACAATAAATACAAGATGAAGGGAATGGCAAGCATAGCAGCAACACAAAGAATTAATTCCAGAGGCTAGGAATCACATCATGAAAATTATTTCATTATTTTAACTTGTTAATTATTCATGCAGGAGAGATATGGGAAACAGCAGGAGAAAGCTAATAAAAGAAAGAGCAACTCAGAGACACCGACGAAAAGGATTAGAAAGGTATAAAGAAAAGCTTAGGAAAAAACGTGAATATGGAAAGAAAGGTGGGTACCAGAAGCTTTCCTTCTCTCTCCCTGCTGCTCCTTACTCTTGGTCTAGCATCCTGCTGCCTCATTAAATCAGGGACAATCATTGGTGATACTATACTATGAATCACCTGGGCCAGCTGAAAAAATAACACTCTCCCCCCCAAAAAAGAGACACAGCCAAGAGGGCATGAAAGTGCATGAGCAGAAATGAGCAGCTGCAAGGGAAAAATAGGTCACGCCAACAGTTCCCCCAGCAAGAAGCAGAAGCAACCATGGGAGTAAAATCAATGCTCACAATAAATCACGTGTTGAGAACCAGACCACGAAAACACACATCTCTAATTCTAGTATGTTTTCTAACATGCAGAGCAAAACATCATAGCTGGATGCTACGGAGCATAGCCGGCGTAATGAATAAACATGGACAGAATGAGTCATATCACTAGGACCGGTGATACCCACCAGTGCAGGACACTTCCAAACTGGTCAAATTGACTTCCTCCCTCCCTGTGTTTCTTCTAAGTCAAACTGGAGACTGTGCATGTGTGACCTGCACTCTACTGACAATACATTTATATATGAATCATGAAGTATGGAGCTACACTGTTTAAATGCACGAGATGAAGATGCAGTAATGAGGGAAGGGAAGTAGGTCATCATTTAAATAGCAGACAGTAAGTACGTGGTGCTACCTGGTACACGATAATCACACAGAATCACACAATGCTTAGGGTTGGAAAGGACCTCTAGAGATCTTCTAGTCCAACTCCCCTGCTCAAGCAGGGACACCTAGAGCATGCCTGGTTTTAGTGCCTGAACTTCTGACATTCAAATGGACTCTCTTGATATTTGCTCCACTCCCTGTTCACGGAATCCCACCTTCAGGAGATATCTTTCTTCACCGCCTGCAAATTCAGATACCTAGGGAGAGTCAGGCCACAACTACATCTCTACTTTTACGAAGACTCTACTACCAGATACCACTGATGCCATTTTTTGAGGCACTGGAGTGACTGCAAACCAATAAGAAGGCAGAAAGATAGAAATGAGTCAAAAATGACAGGCTAGGCCAAAATCTGGTATTACTTCTGATACGGTCATATGGTATAAAAGCAATCTCCCAAACGCATGCTGACCTTTCAAGGTAAGTTTATTTTTCTGTACAGTGCAATGCAGGGCATGTAATCTAAAAAAATGCTCACAGCTATGTCTGTAAAGCAGTTTTCATTTATAAAAACCTTACTCTCTAAAATAAACAAACAATAAATTGAACACTAGGTAAGTTCATACACAACCACAGAAACTTTTACCAACGTTAAGAACACAAGCTAAAAACTAGATGATGCAAAGAATCCTAAATTGTCCTCCAAAAGCTCCAATCAGAGATAAGTAAACAAATAAATAAATAAAATCAGTCTGTTACCCCTGGAATGCACACGCTAAATACAGGCTCCAAGTCATTACCTAGTGTCCAGCCAATCTAACAGCGATGGTAAATCCAGACTCACAAGTGTGAGTTGTACTAGTCCTCTCAATAATTACCAATTCAAATGCCTTTAAAAACAGCCTACAACACTAGTATTTTAAATTATTTCATGTTTATCAAAAATATTAAATAGAATGTTTACACTCACACAAAGGTATCTTTTGACTGGACTTTAACCCACATCTATACTAACAGAATTCAAAAGAATACATTTTGAAATATAATCACCACAACCTGCAGGTAATAGATGCTCCTTTCACTATTCTTCTTGTTAATAGTTCGAACTTAAGGACAACACAACTACAGAGAAATAACTTATACATAAAACACAACTGCCAAGACAAAGAGAGCAAACTTTCCTCTACACTCATGGGCAATGGGAACAGCTGTAAATTGCCACATGAAAGATCTATATTCAGTATTAGGAAAGAACTTTTTCATGACAAGAACAGCTAAGCACTGTTAAAAACAGTTAAGCTGTCTAGCAAGGCAGCATAATTTCCATTGTTAAGGGGTTTTATGCAAATGGTTTCAAAAGTCTAATGGTACCATCCTCTCCTTCAAATCACTTCTGACAATTTTCACGAGTCTCTTTGATTCAACGAGATAGCAGAAAGCCACCCAGGTTCCCAACTGTGTTGGTTTTTTGCTGTTTTAGTGATCTGAATTGATATCAGAGGCAGCAGAGAATACGTGCCTGATGCTTGCGCTTGGACCTTCAGCAGTGAGAAGTTAGGTCAGCTCAACACATCTCACAAGGCTGTGTCTTAAAAAACAGACCAGGCAAATACAGGCCAATGATGCTGCAAGTGCAACCCATACTTCCAGAGCTGCCAACAGGACACCTCCATTCTTGGGGTCATTTTCTGCATTATTTTATTTATGCTGAGCACATTTAGTGAAACTTTAACAAAAATATTAAAGATAAAACTAGTAACTACAGAATTAAATTTTATATGCTATGTGTAATGAAGCAGGCGTTTGTCTTAGCCGTGTTTCCAGTTAAGAATACTTCCCTGATGCAAGGATGCGCCTAAAAGGATATGGCTAAACAATTTCACTTTTAATTTGTAAACAGGAATTCATTTTTCAATATCCCTTATTTTTTTTCTTTTTACAAAAAACTGCCAATTTTGTATGAAATATAAAACTGCCTACTAGCTTCTCGAATTTGTTCATATACATCTCCAGTTTTGCTCAGATTGCTCAAAACTATCCCAAGCAGAAGCCTGAAAATGACAGTCTGCTAAGCAGACTTCTTTGAACAGCCAAGGCAGTAGAACCCTAGGAACCTTCCAGGACAGCATTCGCCTTAAATTCCAAGGTGAATTTAAGTTTAGGAATCCCACAAAATCATTGATCTCACTGATGATGCTTCTTAGTCCATCATTTACCTGAGTCTGTGACTACACATCTGGTAGACATTCGTATTCTATTGTCTTCAAGAGACTCCAGAACAAAAATATGGTAATTTAAAGACTAAGAAAATATAACTGCAGTCACTTCAACTGGGCTTTACTAGCATGAGCTTCCTCACTAAAAGACCTTAATTCCTTTTTATTTAATGTATAAACTTATTTCTCAGGCTTATGCAACCATACAGACAAATTTCCACCTTATATTTATTATTCAAGCACTCTCCGTGTAATCCACTTAAGTATACCTGCAGCATATTGGTCAGAAAACAAAGAATACATGGAGAAGCTTGACATAATGTTTTTTTTTTTTTCCCCCCAACTTTCAGAATCATATTTCATCTGATATGCCTATATATACACTTCATGTGCTACCTGCTCTGGAAACCACATTAAAAAGCAGTTAGCACAGTGTATCATCCTGTCTCTTTTGGCCATGCTCTTTTTAAAAGATCTTCAGAAAAGAGGAAGATTTCTCTCATTCACACGGAACATAATTTAGACTGGACTTCCAAGACAAACTGTAATATGGAAAATTCATCATCATCACCAAGTACACCACAAATTGAGAGGTACGAATGGAAAAAGTCCCACACCATTTTTACCTGCAAAGCTGATTTGTCCCCCACCCCAAAAAAAAAAAAAAAAAGGCCAGCTAAGTATTACACTAATACTTGGGAACTGATGTTCATCTTAGCTTACTTGCTAGCAATGATTTTCCTCTACGTTTGTGTTGATTCTTCCTCCCCAAATGTACACACCTGAAATGCTCATACATCAATAGAGCTTCACTGCTATCAAGCCAGAGACAGAACAAAAAAAAAAAGTATGTTCTCAATATATGTGCATATGAAGTCTTGAGTAAAGCACAGTAACAGGCTACCAAAAAATGAGATCAAAGCTGGCCACTTTAATGCGTAAAGATAACATCTTTGGTGAGGACAAAGTAATTCTGCACGTTGACACAGACCTCTTAAGACACACGTTGGAACCAAAGCCAAGGTGACTTCCCACCAAAGCCACGCTTTCCTCCATCGCTCCAAACGTGCCTCCCAGGCTTCCATCAGGATGCAGCTTCGTTCCTGGGAAAACGCACACACGCTACGGGGCTAAGGCGCATCCAGCCCTTTGGGGCAGCATCCACAAGGAAAGCCGCAGCCTCCTCCTCGCCGCCGCCCGTACGGACCGTTCCGCGGCGTTTCCCGCACGGCGCGCGAGGCAAAGCCCAGCGCCCTTCACCTTGCGGCCGCCGCTTCCCCGCGCGGCGCCGCAGTGTCCCCGTCCCGGGGGGCTCCCTGCTCACCTGCGAGAGCTGCCGCGGGTTGGGGCAGCCGAAGAGCGCCGAGCTGGAGCTGAAGCTGATGGCGCCGCGGCGGCCGG